TTGAGCCTCTATAGGCCTTACTAATGCTGGCCCCTACCTTTACGGTGCAGTACTTGTTCCTGTGAGGAGACTTCAAGAGGGAGAACCTGCTGAGAGACTTTGTCCTTCGGTGCTACCTGCCGGGTGACACTGCAAGTGCCTCCAAGGCTGATACGGGTCCATTATGCAATTTATAGCCTTCAATGTTACCCGGGGCCCTCCACTACGGCTATAAGGGTTTATAAGGTCTCTAGCGTTATAGGGTTTATAGGGCTATAGGGTTTACAGGGCTATAGGGTTTGTAGGGTTATAGGGTTTATAGGCTTATAGGGTTTATATAGGTTTATAGGATTTAGGGGTACAAGGTGTGTACGGTTCATAGGGTTATACAGGCTTATAGGGTTTATATCGAATTATGGTAATATATAGGACTTAGAGGTACAGGGTGTATATAGGGCTCATAGGGTTCTAGGCGTTCTAGGGTTATAGGGGTATGTATAGGGATTACGGGTGCAAGGTGTATATATATATAGGGTTCATCGGGTTATAGGCTTTACAGGGTTGTAGGGTGTTGCTTGACGACCACAAACATGCTACTTTGATCCAGTGCTCTACTTCTCAGCTGGGTTCTTATTCTTGGGTTGCCGGGCAAAGTGTTGGGGGAATCTTGACTATACATATGTGTATATATATATGTGTGTATAGGGGTGGTATAATGGACTGCGGGCTTCTGATGATCTGCATTCATTCGCCGTGGAAGTTTACATTTTTTCTTTTCGCTGCTTGCAAAGATTTCTAGGCTTATAGGCCTAATAGGGCTTATGAGATTTATAGGGTTTAGGCCTTGACGTTCTGGGCCAAAAATACTACTTGCTACTAGCTAGCGCGATGGTGCGACAATGTTTTTTTGGGGAATAGGGGCCAAATCTCGTACTTTGCTAGGTAAGGAACAGAAACCTTTTGGATCCTTGCAAGTGATCTTCTTACAAATCTGACAACCCCCAAAGGTGCCTTGTAAGCCGGTCTGGTATCAAAAGCTTGAAGGCCCGGATTTAACTAAACCAGCTGGCCTTTGCCCCAGGCGATGTAGTTGGCGCTCATCCTGCGTCAGCACAGTTTTCATGTCCAAGCAGAACAATAGCTCCAATATGCAAACCACGTATTGACAGCCATCAAATTTCAGGAGACCTCACTTGCAGGTTCTGTACCAGGTACTCGTAATCTTGGTTGGGTGAATATGAAAATGTGTGCAAGCATTACGCCCAAGTAGAATTTCTCCCCAACTCGAGCTTCCTCTGAACAGCTCAGGCCTCACTCTAAAAGTTATGAAATACTATCAGCTACATCTGATCTCTCACGAGGCCAAGCTAACCGCCCTCGTGACCTTCCGCCAGAAGACGACCAAATGGAGGACTGTGTGTTAGCGCCAAGAAATCCTTTGAAGCGTCTATAGCCTTTCAAAGGCCATCCTATGCATTATAATACCTGTACTCTTACTGTGAATGAAGGAAATCACGCACCGCCCTCTGCAGCCCAAAAAGACAGTCATTGTTGGTGCTCCACCCACTCTGGTTTTCTTGCAGGAAGAATCTTACTGGGTACAGCTGGAAGACCGAGCATGAGATGCTAACGGAGCTGAAGTGGCCGGAGCTTCTTGCTAGCAACTACATTCGGCATGCATTCGTAATTCAAACCAGCCAAGACATGTAGCCCGCTTGTCTTCTGCAAGGAAGCGCGTAGCGGGGGCAAAGGCCCACTGCGAGAAACGCAAGTTGACCAAGCCATGCGCTTAATTAAAGGGAACCTCATGGGAGTTTACTAGCCTTCCATGATCCTCCATAGGCGAGATATCTACGACAAGGAGAGCAAGAAGTACTTGGTGCTTGTCAGGGAGGACGTTGAGTCAGCAGAGGAGCGGTTGCAAGAGCTCCAGCAGGAGATGGCGGACCTTGGAATCCTCGCCTCCGACTTCGAGCTCGGGGACGTGTTGGGCGAGCTGGACGGGGGCGATGATGAGGACAAGCCCGGCGGCCCGCCAAGGCCAAGCAAGAAGAAGGTCCCTGAGTGGCCCACGGTGGAGGGGGAGGAATCCATCCAAGAATATTTGGGACAATACCGACGCGCGGTATTGTCCCGGAAGGCTTTGCTTAAGGGAGCCAAGGAGAAGCTCGAGGNNGAGGGTTAAAGGTTTACAAGTTTAGAGGCTTTAGATCACGCGTATCTGTAGATCTCCAAAACAGAACGGGCAAAGAAGTTGAAGTTTAGCCGTAAGATCCATGTACATGTCTGGGCTCAGCTATTTCTTTACCAAGGCAAGCTCAGTGGCTTCCTGACGGAAATGGCTGGTGTGGAGTCTGGGCCTACTGGTCGATCGAAACTGGTGCTGCAATAGCCATGTACATTTCAGCTTGCGAAGGGACCCAGCCCGCCCTTGTTCGGTCCTTGCCCAGCATCTCAGCTGCCACACACCATGGCAGGTCGTGCTAGTTTTAATGGCCCCATATGTCCCCAATAACCGTGCACATCACACACTGCAGCCCCCTGTTTTTAAACTAGTGAGTTCCGCAAACCAAGTTAGGAAGCCCTGCCAAGAATTTCGCGTTGTTGCCATCAGGTCTGGGTTTCCCGCTGAATTTCTCCCCCTAATAGTAAAACTGCTCCTGGGAGCAGCCATGTATGCTAAAGGGAAAGGGTCTATAGGAATCTAGGCTTTAGGATTCAGAACTTTGGGCTTCAAGCTAAGGTTAGCTTTGGTCCTTGCAAGTAAACACCGTCAGAGCTGATACCCTGTTAGACAAATTGATTCCCAATGAAGCCCCGCAAAACTGTACGCTGAATGTTGAATCTTTTGAGAACGGTCTTCAGGTTTCCGTGTCTAGGATAGGTTTTCCTACAGGATTTCCAAGCATACATGCGTTACATAGGGTTTCTATATAGAGTTCTGTATACATCGGGTATGGGATATCTGAATTAGATGGATTTTGCCTGCTTCTCAGGCGCTGCGTCTGCCAATCACCCCAATGTCCCCAAGCAGGACCATATGGCTTTTAGCACGTAACAATTTAGAAGCCCTAGAAATCCCTACAAACACCATAAGCCCTTCATGAACCCTACCTCACCCTTCCAATGAAATTCCATATGGGGTTGGGTATGGTGTTCCGATTCGCGTTCTTCCAAATAACCCACAAAATAGAGTACATTGGAAGGTCAAAGTTAACCCTCCTGAACCTATGAAGCCATATAAACCCCATCAACCTTGCACCCTGCCGATGCTATAAACATGAGGAAGCAAGCCTTTGTGGGCGTGTGCGAGAAGATCCGAGCTGAGCTACTGGCTCTGCATTTTCAGGGGTACATCTACCTTATGATGACCCTGGGTTCTAGATATAGGGTTGGGGTTTATAGGGTTTATAGGGTTTATAGGGTTTATAGGGTTTGTAGGGTTTATAGGGTTTATAGGGTTATTGGGTTTATAGAGTTTGTAGGGTTTATAGGGTCTATAGGGTTATAGGGTTTATAGGGTTGGTAGGGCTTGTAGGGTGTACTCTTGCAAAGCTGCGGGATTCAGAGAACCTCCTATGAATTTCATTCTTGTACTATATTTAGGAGTCATGGCCACCCTTTCCACCTTGTACTCATGTAGTGCAGGCAACCCTATAAAAAAAATCTGAGGTGCATTATGTTCACGAACTACTATGCCCAGGTGAAGCCACTTGGAGCCTAATATGTGTGCCAACCTTGTGCAACCTCGGCTACCACCTCATCTTAAAGCTTTCGCATTACGTATCCAAGGACGTACTTTGCCAAGGCGGCCGTCAAAAGCAAGTCTGTCAAGCCTGCGGAAGACTAAATTTTCCCCTGGGGACTGATGCCTTCTTGGGCCCTCTCACTCCATCTTATTGAGCATTCACCCTTTGTAGCTGAAGTCTAAAACTGCTACGCTAGATAGCATTTGGAGAGGCTACAAGTTGCGTGTCTCCAGCATGCAGAGCCTGGCCACAGTGGCCGCGTCTGCAACATGATACATATGTGCTTTACACACGTGTTTGAGCCGCACAGAATGTGCGCCTGGCCCTTCCTGCCAGTTTTGTAGGGTTGAGGTTAGTTGGGAGCTTATAGGATTTAGACAAGGATGCTTCTAGATTTTATTAGGGCTTTATAGGGTCTGTATGGCTTATATAGGGCTGAGGGTTATCAGCTTCTAGGGTAATAAGATTAGAGCGTTCTAGGGGTAGAGGCTTATATGGGACGAATGGGCTGTATAAGGTTATAGGATTAGGGGGTTCTCGGAATAGAGGATTATAAGGCTACAGGGTTACGGGGTTATATAGTTAGTTATGGGGATTAAAAGAACCCTATGGCATCTTCGGTGCCACTTCCCGTTCGTGTCCAGCATGCCTAAGCGCATGGATGATGGACGCTGTCAGCGCTCTGCAAAAGTCTAGCTATGATTCGGGGGAATGCCTATAATTTCTCGCGGAAATCCGTATGGGTGACCACTGCCTAGATCCATCAGTTTACCAACATTTCCCTGGTCGCCTTGAGGGTTTATGGGGGATGTAGAGCTTATATGGGGTTAAAGAGGGTTTCTGCAAAAGGGATCTGCGTGCTCATAGTTCAAAAAGACCCGCGCGCAGGTGCCCATCCGGCAGAATCGGAACATGTGGATGTGATCTTGGATACATATGTGGCCACTTGGTTGGAGACCGTGTGTGTGTGTGTGAGATTACGAACCGATTATAAGTATAGAAGATCAATCTAGTGGGGTGCTCCAGATCCAATTTGCTCAAAACCACCTAGTTTCAAGTCATGCTTATACTTCTCCAGAGGGCCATGTTGACCCCAGCTTTCCGAAGTTACTTCCATAGGCTGAAGGGTGCAAAGAATTCAGAATCCACCCTAATGTAATTCCCCGCTCTTCACATTGAAGCCCCATACCCCATATTACCCCATATCATATGCTATAGTGGGAAGATCTTATAGGAAGTATAGGGGATTTTATCTCGGGAGGAAATTATACCTAGCACTCTCCAATTAAACCTTGTCTTTGAGTACCCTTGCATACCCCAAACATTCCACCGCAGAACCCCTAGAATTATGACCATCCCTTATGGTAAACCCTTTTTTTCCCTGAACTTTTTCCCAAGCTGTTGACAATGTCATGGAAACAGTTCATCTCAGGCTGCTTCGGCGACGAAAGCCGCTCGCTATGCTGCATCATCCTCCAAGCTGGCTACGTGGCAGCATAACCGTGCGGAGAAAGAGACCCTCACCGATTTGGCGCATGCAGCTCGCCAGAAGCGTACTGGCAACCGCGTGCGAGACATGAGCCGCTGCTTGCGCGCGCATGGATTTATGCTGGGTGTGCCAATTCACTGGCTGCAGGAAGCTCCTGGGCCATACCATAGAAACACCTGTAGTTTCTGTTTGTTTGTGGTACACCTAATCCCACTGCCTTGCGGAAGCTATCAGGTGCACACTGTGCAGATCAAGGGCAAAAACCGCAGGATAGAGATGCGGCCGCATCCCATGTTCCAGGTGTCTGCGTTCTGTTTGGTGGTCCTAAAGGGCCCTTACGCGTCCAAGCTGCTTGCTGGCCACGCTTTGGCTGATGAAGACAAGTGGCGCACCACATTCCGAAAGTTTTGGGCGAATTATCGCGATGTGGACCCAGGTTGCAAAGTCTACACAGACCACGATAGTACACTGGACACATGTATACCGGTCTTCCTGCATGGAGATGCTTGCCATTAGGAGCATGTTTGTGCGGTGGTGTTGTGGCCCTTTTTTTACCTCGTTTCCCCAAATCCTGGGTGACTTTTGGTGTGAACAGGGTGTGGCCATGTAAGGACGAGGGTGTGGGCCACCGTCGCAAGCCTGTTCTTCAAATCAGCTTTGGACCGTTGCTGGCCATTGGAGAGGCGGCTCTCCATCGGCTTTTCTTGCTGACTACCTGCCCGAGCAAGCTCTACAGCAAGTACAACAAGGGCATGGCCGCTGGGAACCGCGTCCTCGATCGGCTTTTGCGTGCTGTGGGCCAATCGCTTCGTACAGCGTATTATCGCGGTATCGATACGCCACGTGGCACTTTCTTTATCGTGTGCCTTGGTCTGGCTGGTGACCACATTTTCCAGACCAAGGCGTACCGGTGTGCGAGGCACCACACATGCAACTCGATCTGCCCACATTGCCTTGCCAACACCACAACCCTTCCGTTTGAGGATGTGGATGTTGGCAGGGCAATGTGGGTAGACACGACGTTCAGGTCGATGCCGTGGCGGAAGCCGCCGCCACTTGGCCTGATTCCTGGGGGGGATTGGCCCAGCTTCATCCGCTTCGACCTCATGCATGTGCTCCCGCATGGCTGTGGCCGTACTTTTGTGGCCTCGATGATCGCGATGATGTGTGGCCCGCTCAAACTTTTCGCCGGCGAGTCAAAGGCGGCAAGGCTTGAGGAGGCGTATGAGCACTTCTCCTTCTTTTGCGAGAAGAAGCACATGTATCCTCGGGACATGCAGGAGTTCACGGCTGATAACCTGGGATGGAAGTTCAACCGAGACTTCCCGGAATGTAACTGCAAAGCCATGGACTGCAACATGATGATACAGTGGTGCATCGACTTCCTGTCAAGCACGCCCTTGTGTTTGGCGGGCCCCCTTCTCTGGGCATACAAGGGCTGCTGTGGCTTCGACAACTTTTGCCGGCTTTGCTACAGATCCATGGATCGTATCTTCTGGACGCGAGAGGAAGCCAGACAGGGATATTCTCACTTGCGAGACTTCGTGCGTGCTTACAAAGCGTTGGCAGTGCGGCTCGGAGCATTTCAGTCACATTTAACTCTTGTCTCATTTCTTTCGACCGTAACTCGGCTATCACTTCCAGTCAGGTACTGGCATGACAATGGATGGTGCCTCTTCAACATAACTCCGAAGCTTCACTACGCCACCCATTGGCTGTTGGAGCTACACGTCTTCCTGCAGTCACAGAAGACTTTGCTGTTGAGTCCAGGGGCTTTCGCTACACCACTCATGGAGGATTTCATTGGCCTCACTTCCAAGATTTCCCGTACCTCCCATCCTAGCTCGGTAGCCCTGACTACAATGAGAAAGTATCTCGTGGAGGTGCGGAGAGCCTGGCGTGAAAAGATGTCTTGCCCGAGAAGTCCAGCAGGCATTTCATCAT